CGCCCCCCAGGGGGGATGGTCACGCCACAATCCCTTCTCCTCCATTCTCCTCTTGGGATCTTGGGCATGCACGCACACGTGCCCAGCGTGAGTTTTAAGCCACCAGGTCTGGGACGCAAACCGTGGTCGACTACGTGGGAGTCCAGCGACATAGCCATTATGCTAACTTGCTGGTTCCCAATTTTTCTTTTTTTTTAAGAGAGGTATTTTTGCTATAGGGTGCATGCGCTTACCAGAGAAACAGAGACAGAGAGACAGAAAGTGAGAAATCACCCTTTCCACCCAGGATTTTGAGCACGGATACACATGTGACAGGCGTGAGTTTTAAGCCAACAGGTCTAGGACTTGAACTGTGGTCTACTATGTGGGAGTCCAGCAAAGTAACCATTACGCCATCTGCTGGTCCCACCCCTGACATGATTTTTAAGCCACCAGGTCCCAGACTCAAACCATTCAGTCAACCATGTGGGATCCAACACCTTAACCTCCATGCCACCTATTGGCCCGTTTTTTGTTTTTGTTTTCAGTTTATGACAGAGTGCATATGAATGTATGTGAGGGTAAGAGAAAGAGAAATACCATCCACAGGGTGTGGTCAGATGTGATCTCCTTCCTCCAATCCCCCAGCCCATTGGATCCTGGGCACTCACAAATATGCCTTGTGTGTTCCAGGCTAACTAGGCCAGGGATTCAAACCAGGGTTGCCATGTGGCTTCTCTTAAGCGGTGCGTTACTGCTGCACCACAGAGCTAGCTATTCCTGCTGCAGCTTTTAAAATCATCATTTCTGATGTCCATTAGCACTGAGAGGAGAGACAGAAAATCCCATCTCTACATTCCCCTCACCTGACCTAAGGGAGATGAGGTGGATGGATCCTCCCAGCAAAACTAGACAAATCCTTTTGGGTGACAGCACAAGGAAGAGCCAAGTCTTCAGAGTGGCCTGTGCAGTGGCTAGCTGTGATATGCTTATGTCACTTCCTTTCCTGGCTATAGGGGAACCTTCTCATTCTATACACTACTTCCTTCATTAAGAAGGTCAAAGAGAAACTGGTAAGCTTACAGTTATTTTAAGTATTTAAAAAAAAAAAAACCAGAATTGGGGCCAGCAGGTGGCATGGTGGTTAAAGGTGCTGGATTCCCACATGGCCAACTGCATTTTGAGTCCCAGACCTGGTGGCTTGCTTTCTTGCTCCCCTCCCACCTCGGTCTGGTCAAATTAAAAAAGTAATAACAAATGGAATTAATTAAATAAATAATTCTTTAAAAAAAAAAAAAAAAGAATGAACTTTGCTTCTGCTGGCAGACATTATGCCAAGTTTAATTTATATGTACGCTCTTAGCCATCAAATTACGTAAGTTCTTTTTTTCCCTCTTTGCTGGAGGGTGTGTGCCCATATGCCAGAGAGAAAGGGAAAGAAATCATCCTATAATGGGGCATGAAGGCACTGCAGTCCTTTTTCCTCCATTTCTCCTGATGTGCCCATCAGGCTTTGGAGCATGTATTCACACCTGGCTGGCATGTTTTTAAAGCTGCTTGGGCCAGGACTAGAACCTCAGGTCAGCCCTGGGAGATCTCATTCCCTATGCACAGAATTAAACTGCTGCAACAGAGGGAAAGCTCAATTCTTTTTTTTTTCCTTTTGTTTTAAGTTTACTTATTTTGGGCCCGGCAGGTGGCATGGTGGTTTGGGTGCTGAACTCCCACATGGCCAGCCACAGTTCCAGTCCTAGACCTGGTGGCTTGCTTTCTCACTTTCCCTTTCTCTATCTCTGTCTAATTAAAAAAATAAATAATACTAGCAAAATTCAATAAATAATGCTTTAAAAAAGAAAAAGTTTACTTATTTCTTGAGAAGGAGAGAGAAATAAGCACCCTCTGTGAGTCTCTCCCAGCCTTCCCCACTAGTTGAGGTCACGGAAACACACCTGTGCCTGGCAGGTACAAGGTGACCCAGGGAACCAAATCCCGATCTTCCATATGGCCTCCAGCATGGCAGAGAGCTGAGCTACTCCTGTGCCACTGCATCTGGGACTGACAGAAATTCTTGTTTATTTCCACTGGACACACCAGAAAACTGAGGATAAAAAGTTCATGGATTGGCCCAAGATCGTTCAGC